TGTAGTCAGGTTTAAGTCCCCACCAGGATATATAAACCAGTACACACACACACACACACACTCACACACACACACACACACACTCACACACACACACACACACACTCACACACACACACACACACACTCACACACACACACACACACACTCACACACACACACACACACACTCACACACACACACACACACACTCACACACACACACACACACACTCACACACACACACACACACACTCACACACACACACACACACACTCACACACACACACACACACACTCACACACACACACACACACACTCACACACACACACACACACACTCACACACACACACACACACACTCACACACACACACACACACACTCACACACACACGCACACTCACTCACAAACACGCGCACACACACTTGCACGTAAACTCACTCAAGTACACTCACTCACACACACACACACACACACACACACACACACACACTCACTCACTCACACATACACGCACACACACTCACAGACACACACTCACACACACACTCACACATACACACACACACTCTTAGTCACACACACACTCTCACTCACAGACACACACTCACACACTCACTCACACATACACACTCACTCACACATACACACACTCTTAGTCACACACACACACACACTTCTGAGAGGTCACTAAAGACACAAGGTGTGCTTTCAAGGGTTAAAAAAGTGCAGGACGTGATTTAATGCACAGACGGTTAAATGAGTGACTCGTGCAGTAAGTCTTGATATTTGATCTGTTATTTGGCTTTAATCGATGTGTTTTTCTGTCTCTGTGTGATGAGGACGGAAGCAGTCAAGCGTGTGATGCCTGAAGAGCTGCAGAGGAGAGAGAGAGAGAGACGGGCGATACGCATCCGCTTAATACAGGCAGCGCTTCTTATCTCACCGGCCTTTGATTCTGGCTGCTGGTAAAAGCTGCAGTGCACAATGGAGCTCTCTCTCGGGTGGAGCTGATGTGTGTCATACTCTCGTTTGCAATAAAAGCAGATTAAAAAGGATGATCCGGGCTTTCCGAGGCCCATTTCCGGGGCAGGAGGGGGTTGAGAGACGATGTTACGTACAGAAGAGCGGTCGTCGTTTGCTGTTCACCTGCATCTGATGCTCTGAGTGTCTGCATATCAGCAGTATTTGCTCCTGCTTAGTGTTCGTTCTGTATATCTGCTGTTCTAATCATCTGAAGTCCGCCCAACCCTTGATTAACTTCATAACACATGTAGGTGTGCATTAATCTGCATTGTAAAGCGCTGCAGCTCAGAATTCAGGGACTGATTGGTTAACGTGTTCACTAACTAACTGCTGAGTGTTTTTAGTTACACCAGCGTTATATTGAATGCAGTGCTTCATCAGAGCTGTCACGATGCAGAATGAGTCGATGATGTTATTATCTTACTGCTAATTTAGCAGAACTGTCAAACTCTTCCTCTGTGTCCGACCCTGGAGAGTAAAAGCATCAGTAATGCATTAATTCCTACATTCATTCATTCATTCATTCATTCATTCAGGCTTGTGTGTTCGTGGAGCAGATTCAGCATCTTTCGGAGGGAACTGGTGTCTGTAATGCGGGTCTGGATGAATCTCAAGCACTCGCTGCTATTTTTAGTGTCTTTCTCATTCCGCCCAGTTTCTGCCCAAAGATCCTCGTCTGTCTGTGTTTTTCTGCTCAGCTGAAGAAGTCTGACACCTCAGATATCGTTTTATATGAAGCTTCACATCCAACCAAAAGCATGTCGTCTTATCGTGTGTTTATGTGTAGCGGTTGACCATTATGGGTTTATCAATGGCAATGTCAATATTGATATCTAGAGATCAGGTGTCTGATGCTGATCTATTTAACTCAAATCAATGACAGCATGTGAGATTATTTTTAAAATATTTACTCAAAATGCGCACCATATATTGAAAGCTTTACTGTTTTATTGTCTGAAAATGGCTAAATATCAGATGTTCGTATTGTTATTAGTTGACGGGATGTGGCTGTTCACACCTCATTAACGCAGATTGTGTGTCTGGTGTTTATCCAATCAGAATCCAGTGTCTGTTTTATAATATTGGTCAGTTACGGCCTTAAATCATCATAATTAATGTGGTGCACAGATACTGAAAAACTGACATTGAGAAGGATTTCACCTGCTTCATGTCACCGAATGTATCTGCATCACCTGCCTACGTTGCTCTCGCGCTCTTGTGTTTTTCCACCGTGTGTGTTCTGGAGAGCATGACCATCTGTCCGCGCTAAACACGCCAACTCCACCAAGAGTCCCGGAGAACACTCTTCACCTGTGCAGCGCTGATTCTCAGATGGATGGTCTGTATGAAGGACGGTTGGGTTTTCTGCTCGTGTGAGAGTTAGCGAGCGCTGGATAAAGCCGACGGAAGATCTGACAAAGCCGTGCGAGTTAAATTCATCTCTGGACGGCTTCCAGTCGTAGCCTGCAGGGGTTTGAGCTGTGCGTCAGAACAGCCGTGTTTTACTGTTTGTTCTGCGGGATCAGAGACTTTTAAGTTAAGCAGAATTTACACCTCCAACACACTGGAGTGCAGACAGTCATGCAGCCGAGCTGAAGGTCGTGTGCTCATATAGTGAGAGTTTGATGAAAGTGTTGTTCATTCACACAGAGACACGCACTGCTGTTTCTGCTGTTAGATTAATGCATATCGAGAAAAAATATCTGGAGCTTATCATTGTTATCCATGTGAATTAATCCTCCGACATGACTTATTTATGTAGTTTTGGGCACTTTTTCCCAAATTGTGAATCCATTTCGAATGCAAAATTGATTTCTGTTCATTTTGTACAGACTGAATTGGAACCTAAGCTCATATTTCTGCCCAGAACATTCAGGCGTTTGTACTGTGAGAGTGCAGATACTGCTGTGCTCTTGAGTCTGGCGTCAGCGGCGCTTCGGGCCGTGGCTGCTGCTTGTTTGTAGAGGAACTGGAGTGTTTCAGCTGTTCAGCATTAGTGTCGTTTTCACACACATCTGCGCTGGCGCTGGCTTCATTTAACATCGATCAGCCGCGCAATCTGCTGCCGTCACCCTCCGTAAGCGGCTTGCGGCCTGCACTAACCGAACGCCCGCCATTTGCCTGTTGACCCGTGGCCTGTGTCTCTGCAGATGTCCTCCTGACCCGCGACAGCTGGAGGCTCGTTCCCGCGCTGTAAGACGGCCAATCAGAGCTTAACCCGTAACCACACTCAACTACTACTGACCATCAGCTCACTCAACTGCCCATTGTAATCTGAGCATGAGCCTGTCATTAAACCATTACGCATTCAGAGCTGGTTACTGGTTACAGCGTGAATGTTGTGCGGCAGAAGAAACACATCTTGTGTGTGTGTGTGTGAAGCCTGTCTCTTTACAAATCAAACAGCCGCGTCTGTGTGTGAGAACAGCTCTTTCTCGTGGTAAAATCAGTGTAAGGCACGGTGTCACCGCTTTATTAGGCACTCCTTCCTGTATGTTATAAAATATTTGTTCATTTAAATCTCCCATGTGCTGTCTGATTGTAGGGATACCGGCTCAGACCGCTGAGGATTATGAAAACCAGGACATGAAGCTCAAACACATCTAGAAAAAAAGAGAAACGAGTGCGGTGAGTATCTGTCATGTGTGTGTGTGTGTGAGTGTGTGTGAGGGAGTGTGTGTGTGTGCGTGAGTGTGTGTGTGTGTGTGCGTGCGTGTGTGCATGTGTGTGTGTGTGTGTGTGTGTGTGTGTGTGTGTGAATGCGTGCGTGTGTGTGCATGTGTGTGCGTGTGTGTGTGTGCGTGAGTGTGTGTGAGTGTGTGTGAGTGTGTGAGGGAGTGAGGGAGTGTGTGTGTGTGCGTGAGTGTGTGTGAGTGTGTGTGAGTGTGTGAGGGTGTGAGGGTGTGGGTGTGTGTGTGTGAGTGTGTGGGTGAGGGTGAGTGTGAGTGTGAGGGGGTGGGTGTGGGAGTGGGAGTGGGGGGGGG